GAAGAGAAACAGAGAGAGATGAGAGAGAGAGAGAGCAGAGAGAGAGCAGAGAGAGATGAGACAGAGACGAGAGAGAGAGAGAGAGAGAGAGAGAGAGAGAGAGAGAGAGACAGAGGCAGACAGAGAGAGAGAGAGAGAGAGAGAGAGAGAGAGAGAGAGAGAGAGAGAGAGAGAGAGAAGAGAGAGAGAGAGAGAGAGAGAGAGAGAGAGAGAAGAGAAAGAGAGAGAGAGAGAGAGAGAGAGAGAGAGAGAGAGAGAGAGAAGAGAGAGAGAGAGAGAGAGAGAGAGAGAAAGAGAGAGAGAGAGGAGAGAGAGGAGACAGAGAGGAGAGAGATGAGAGAAGAGAGAGAGAGAGAGAGAGAGAGAGAGAGAGAGAGAGAGAGAGAGAGAGAGAGAGAAGAAGAGAGAGAGAGAGAGACAGAGAAGCAGAGATGAGAGAGAGAGAGAGAGAGAGAGAGAGAGAGAGAGAGAGAGAGAGAGAGAAGAGAGAGAGAGAGAAGAGAGAGAAAGAGAAAGAGAAAGAGAAAGAGAGAAGAGAGAGATACAGAGAGACACAGAAACAGAAGACACAGACAGAGAACGAGAGACCCATAAGGACCGCAAGGAAAGACCTGGAACACAGCAGGACATTTCTGGAGTCAGGTCAGCCAGGGTCATCCGAGGCAATCAGACCTGCCAACAGGAGGTAGTTTAGGCCTAACCTCACGCGGCGAACATAAATTGTTTGCTTGGCGGTTCCTCGGGTTTAATTATCGTTCACCCACATGAGGAAATGTTAACTGTGTAGGTTTAGTTGTGTGGTTTATCGGTTTAAATATGTGGTTTATCGGTTTAAATATGTGGTTTAGTGGTTATCGGTTTTAAATATGTGGTTTATCGGTTTAAATATGTGGTTTATCAAAATATGTGGTTTATCGGTTTAAATATGTGGTTCGTTTTAATGCCGGTTTAAATATGTGGTTTATCGGTTTAAATGTGGTTTGTCGGTTTAAATGTGGTTTATCGGTTTAAATATGTGGTTTATCGGTTTAAATATGTGGTTTATCGGTTAAAATATGTGGTTTATCGGTTTAAATGTGTGGTTTATGGTTCAGGATAAATGTGTATTTTGCGTATGTTTTTTGAGGTGTTTATGTTGGGTATTATGTAGTTGAGGGATAGTGTTATTTATAATAGATAGCATGCAAGAGATTGATAGATAAGGCTGAGAGTGTTTTGGTTTTGATATAATTTGAGTGATTGTTCGGAGTTCCTAAACCATCAAAATTGTGATATTTTAATCAGAATCCCATAAATTTTAGCAATAAAGAATTATACTATTTAAAAATTATCTCCGGAAAATAAAAATCATTTTTATTCTCGAAAATTCCCGACTTTTCCACCGGTCGGAAGTCCCATTTGTCGAACGGCCGTTACAACCACTGTCCCTCCTCCCCGCGCCCCCTCTCAATATTCACTCAATATTCATAAATTCCCCCATTCAATCATCGTTTTAAGGCCGCCTTCCATTCATTCATTCATCAGGTACTCCTTCTCATTATTTATTCTTTCCCATCCGAGCTTTCTTGACCCTGATTTGACCTCTGCTTGACGGGCTGATGAAGGGTCAGATGAGGTGAAACGAAGAGCTAACTTAACCTACCCATAAGAGTTGCCAAGTTTTCTATATTCGCGTAATTTTACATCTTGGTCGTATAGAACATGATAATCTATATATTTCCAATCCATTTTCATTTTATTCTCCTTACTTGATACTCTAATTTCATTTATCAATTTACAAACAATCAGAAAACGATGTATTCGAGACGGAAATATCTCATATTTATCCCTACCTGGCAACTCGAGCACCACCTCACGCCTTACGCGATTCATTTTTTTTCTTTTATTCTTTTTTATTTTTTTTTTTTTTTAATATTAACAGATAAAACAGTCCCGACCATCGTTATTTTAGGCACGTAGGCGCCATTATTTCTTTGGCGCCACGATCGTTGCTAATGAACCGACTTAGAGAAATATTTGTGGACGTTTCCCAATAATGTTATGGAAATGAACCTTCGAAATCCGATATATTATTCTTCGGAAAATCTATGGATACAAATTACCGATAAGTTTGGCTTATTATCCCTTTCGTTGAAAACTATGCAACATGCAATTTTAATGAAGAAAGGATATGTATCTAATATTTCTATAGCTTTTTAAAATATTATCACAGACACATTTTTTTTTTGTGCTTTGGCTTCATCATTGCAAACGACGACAATAAAGAAAATAAAGATAATTATTATTATCATTATCTAGCGCTTCCTCGCCCCTTGTCCCTCTTCTTCCATTATCTTTCTGTCTCTCTCCCTTCTTCTCTTCTTGTCTCTCCTTCTTCCTCCTTTTCTCTCTCTTCTCTTTCCTCTCTTCTTGTCTCTCTTTTCTTCCTTCTCTCCTCTCTCTCTCTTCTTCTCCTCTTTCTCTATCATCTTCCTCTCCTTATCGACCTTTCTTCTCCTCCTCTCTCTTTCCTCTCCTCTCTTTATCAATCTCTCTCTTTTCCTCTCCCTCCCCCTTCCATTTTTAATCTCTCACTCTTTTCCCCTTCCCCTTCTTTTCATCTCCTCTTTATCAATCTCTCTTTTTTCCTCTCCTCTTTATCAATCCTCTTCTCTTTTCCTCTCCTCCTTTATCAATCTCTCTCTTTCCCTCTCGCTCTTTATCAATCTCTCTTCTATTTCCTCTTCCTCTATCAATCTCTCTCTTATCCTCTCCTCTTCTCTCTCCCTTTCCTTCTTCCTCCCTTCATCCCCCTCTCTGTCTTCCCTCCTCCTCAATCTCCCTTCCCCCTTCTTCCCTTCTCCCCCTTTCTCTCCCCTCCTTCTCTCTCTCCCTCTGCCCCTTCCTCCCTTCTCCTCTGCATAGCAATTATCTATTAAACAAGGAGAGCGAGAAAACATAAAAATATTCCACATTCTGCCTTGAAGTGTTCAGTCGCAAGCAATAAATTATTGACAGCCTTTGCAATATTGATTTCCCTCGACTCAACAACAGACTGCTCACGTGATTTGCAAGCAATCAATAACCCAGTTTGAGGTCAGAAATTGCAGCTTCTTGCATAGGGGTCGATATGTGCAACAATAGGAGAGGTGCAACATGTTATACTGCGTTGGGTTAGGTTGTTCATTGATTTGGAATGATTTTGTTCGCTTTTCTTTCTCTCTTCTTCTAATTCTTCCTTGTCTCTCCTCTACTCCTTTATTTGTTTTGAATTTGATTTGATGGTTATTGATATGTTAGTGAATGGTTGTTTAATCGTCTCTCTTTTCTTCTCTTCTTGTCTCTGGCCTTGCTTCCTCGCGTGTGTATTTATTTGTTTTAATTTGATGGGTTATTTAATGGTTAGTATGGGTTTTAATATCTTTATGATTATGAATAATTATTGTCATTATTTTCAATCATTATCATCAGGTTTCTATATTAACTGTTATCAACATGATTAATAGCATATCTATAATAATTTTCCATAAATAATTATCATAAATAATAATTACTATTGCAATCATTACCATGATTTCCTTAATAATCCCCATTAACTTAATTGCTGATTCCATAGTCATCACCATTAATACCATTATAAACATCACTATTAACATCATTATCTTTTTAATTGTTATCGTTAACATCATGATCATCACCATTTTCATCACCATTAATTAACCACACCGTCATCAGCATAAACATCTTAATCGTCACCATTATCATCACCATTGTTATCAGCTTTTTTCATCATCAACAGAAACATGATTATTCAAAGTATCAAACATCGTTATAAACATCAATCATCAGTTCCCCATTAGCATAATCCACCTTACTCAGTTGCACATTTAACGTCACCATCTTATCATCATAAACATCACCAGAATCCTCACTATTAGCATCACCAACACCACCAGAATCTCCATCATTAACATCATCATAAACATCACCATTAGCATTACCAGAATCTTCATCATTAAAATCATCATAAAGATCAAAATTATCAGCACCAGCATCCGCAGAATCTTCATCGTTGACATAACAAACAGCATCATTAATATAATCATAAACATCACCAAGACCACCAGAATCTTCATCATTAACATCATCATCATCATCATCATAAACATCACCATCAAAATTAACATCATGCACTACCAAGCTTCATTTATATATCATCATAAACCTCGAATCACAAACACTCTTAGCATCACCAGAAATTTCATCATTAAAACATACGTACATAAACATCTTATCATATTTTTTTATCAACCAACATCATCAACATCTAAACCATTCATCTAGCATCACCATTACATCACCAGAAATCATTCATAATTAACAATCACCAGAATATTCATCATTCAACATCATCAATAAACATCATCATAAACATCATCATAAGCATCACCATTACATCAGCAGCAATCATTCATTCATTAACATCAATCAACAAACCATCAATCATACACATAGCCTACATAACATCATCACAACATGCATCATTACATCATCACAAAACCATAATCTATAAGCATGACATTTACATCACCATAGCATCACCCGCAATCTTCAATCATTAACCATCAATCACAAAACATTACATCACCATCTAACACAAGCATCATCACACAACCACCAGTCAGCATCAAATCACAAACCACCAATCACAACATCTCAAGACACCACCATCAGCACCACCAGCATCCCCCATTAGTCTTCTTCACATAATCCCGGCTGGCCACTGCACAGCAGCATTGTATTCATCATCTTCTAATCCATCGTTCACTAGGCAATGTCAGTTCCCATTCACAATGGCGGAACCTGAAAACGCCCAGTCACAACTAAATTTGTGTCCTGTCTGTTGTGTCTATAAACCGCCGTCCCTTCCCCCTACCCCTACTCTCCTATCCCCTCCCCCTTTACTCTCTACCCTTTCCCCCCTCTACCCCTGGGACTGTCCAACCCCCTGCCTGGGAAAAATGCATGGGTTTGATCCTTACAAATCGCAGGTTCTCATCAATCTTCCTCTTTGTGGTCTTTTTATTNCGTTGACATCATCAACGCCCGACGACCCGACGTGTCCAGCCTCATTGCGCACTTCGACCGACCCGACGCCGACGCGCCTGACGCGGGCGGCAGTGCGCTCTTTTTGCCCGCTGGGTTTTGTACAAATATTTATGGACGAATGTAAATATGGACGTTATCATCCTATGTATTTCTCATGTATGTTTTGTTATTCACCCCTTTAACCGCTAAGGATTTTTTATTTATTTTACTTTAATGTGCTCTCTTTCAAATAAAGTATTTTGAGATATACACGGTCCTTTTATATTTTCTAAAACCTGTGTGAAGGAGCCCATGCATGTAAATGTATACATATACATATATGTATACATACATACACACATATATAAATAAATATATATATTGTGTGTGTATAAACAAACGCATATGTAATTTCTAAAAATCTGCTTGTCCCAAACAGAGGCCGTGGTTGGCTGCCCTTCCTGCTACCTGTCCTACGCCCGCCAGAGACTCCCTGACGAGATTGCTGTCGCCGCTCAGAACTGTTACAAGGTAAGATGGAGTACCCGTCAACATGATGGCAATATTTGGTATTATAATACATTCCGTGAGGCATTGTAGGTTACATCTAAATCGAAACTAAACTCCATCACTTGAAACAGGTTGCCCACGGTAACTTCAGCGGCGAGATTTCTCCCGCCATGATCCTGGACTCGGGCTGCGAGTGGGTCATCCTGGGTCACCCTGAGCGAAGGACCATCTTCAAGGAGTCAGACCAACTCATCGCCGAGAAGGTCGCGCACGCGCAGCAGACTGGCATCAAGGTCAGCTTTTTCCTCATCGCTTTTTTTTTATTCTTGAATGTTTTAAAAGGACTCGAATAGATAGACAGATTTTTTTCTAAATATGCATGAATTTATAATTTCATCTTAATGTGCAATTGCAGATAATCGCGTGTCTGTGCGAGACGTCGGAGGACCGCGAGGAGGGTCGCACGGACGACGTCCTGTTCGGCCAGATGAAGTCCCTCGCCGCCAGCATCAGCGACTGGTCGCGTGTGGTGATCGCCTTCGAGGCTCTGTGGGCCAGCAATACCGGCGTCCTGGCCACAGCTGCGCAGGTACAGGAGGCCTTGGCCAAGCTGCGACACTGGCTGCGCGCCAACGTCAGCGACAAGGTGGCCAACAGCACCAGAATCCTGTACGCAGGTTCCGTTTCGTCGAGCAACTGTCGAGAGCTGGCTCAGCTGGAGGACCTGGACGGCTTCCTGGTGGGGAGCGCGGCCCTCAGACCCGACATCGTCGACATCATCAACGCCCGACGACCCGACGTGTCCAGCCTCATTGCGCACTTCGACCGACCCGACGGCCGACGCGCCTGACGCGGGCGGCAGTGCGCTCTTTTTGCCCGCTGGGTTTTGTACAGATATTTATGGACGAATGTAAATATGGGCGTTATCATCCTATGTATTTCTCATGTATGTTTTGTTATTCACCCTTTTAACCGCTAAGGATTTTTATTTTATTTTACTTTAATGTGCTCTCTTTCAAATAAAGTATTTTGAGATATACACGGTCCTTTTATATTTTCTAAAACCTGTGTGAAGGAGCCCATACATGTAAATGTATACATATACATATATGTATACATACATACACACATATATAAATATATATATATATAAATCATATGTATCCTATATATGTATATATATTATATATATATGTATTGTGTGTGTGTTGCCTTTGTGGGTTATTAATTGACCTTTAGTAAACAATGGATATTTTCCTTTGAGTAGACAAAATAATGGAAAGATATTCAATTATTTTTTTTCTTTTGATGCTCACATATTTTACCATTAAGTGGGATAGACGGCATTAGATATATGGAGAGAATTGTAATTATTAATCTATTGCAGACCAGGATCTCCTTACAAGATGGAATGAAGGAGTTACTAAGCTTGGTTATTGTGAAACATTACAGGGAGGTAAAAGCTCAATCATAAAGAAGAGCAAGATGCACTGCACGAGTATGTACGAAATGGAAATTGATGAACAAACAGAAAATGAAAAAGTGTACGAAAACACAAAGAGGTATTTTAAAAGTATTTTTCATTGTTCTAGTTATTTGTTGTATTGCTATTTTTTTTTTTAATGTGATCTGAATTATTTGTGATTTTTTGGTCAAGAAACATAGATTGTAAATGGATTCGCGTTTTCTTTCACGAACTGAGAGTTACGTTGATCCCTTGTTATAGATTCTGATCCCAAGTTGATGATTGATGTCTCTTCATTTATTTCATCGTGTTGTTGCATCTAAAACCGGTCAGTCGAGTTGACGTGTTGTCAATCAAATTAGACTTTTTTTTTTAATCCACAAAACCTAAATTCCCTAAACCGGGGAAGGCAACTCAAAACCCTTCGAGGGCCAATTTTCCCCTTCAGCTACCATCTTGAGGGCCAATAAACGTTCATACTTGGCTTCCAAGGATTACGTTACTAAAACTACTATTATATACGTAAAGTTTAGTTTATTCTACTCAGATTGTATATGGCGTTATTTTCCTTCATGACAATCATAATTTCACAGGCTAATACTCCTTGTCACCCGCGGGCCACGCAAGGTCATCCCAGGGGACACAAACAGCCCGCGGACCAGGAGTACGACACTCCTGGGATATTTCATTCATTATAAATACACAATAAAAGAGTATTTTGTGATAATCTTAAAGGACGAACTGGCTTAATCGTGTAAAACAGCTGACTGTAAGATTGAAATGTGTGTTCCGGGCCATAGGAGTGTGCTTGATGTTTCTGCCTTAAAGGATGTTTCTGGAAGGGATAAACGCCTTGCCAGATGCCACACCTGCCCGAAGTGGAACGACTGACACGCCGTGACGTCTTCAAACCGGATGACGTCACGGAAACCGAGTCACCAGATCCAATTCATTCACGAAGGAACACAAACCGATGAACGTGACTCATGAGGCGTGAAAATAGATTAGGAAAAACTAGTCTTTTACCTACTGGCGTTAAAGAAGTTTTCTGCCTGTCACTTCCTTCGATCTCGGCGAGGACTGAGAACCGCTCAGCCACGAGCGAGGAAAATGGCGGTCGGCGTGTCACGAGAACGAAAATAGGTCAGAAATGGAGCAAGGTGAGTCGAACCGCGCCCGTCCGGTGAGGGTTTCCGACTTGTGGGAAATTCAGTGCAGAGTAGTTTTAAATATACATTTGTCTGAGTGAGTCTGATTGTGTGAGGGATACACATTTATATGAATATATGCATACACATAATCACACACACGTGCATATACATATATAGATAGATAGACATACAGATATAGGCAGATATAGAAAATAATGTAGACAGATAGATACATAGATAGATATATATGTATGTGTATAGTATGTATATAGTATGTTTGTATAACCAATTGCATATTATAAAGCATCTTTCATTATCTCAGAACCATTATCATGGTACCCACACCATAGTCGGTTTTTGTGCATATTGTATAATAAGATTACATACCTGACATTGCATAAGTAGAGTGTGCGCGTCGATATAATGGTCTTGATATGAAGTAATTGTATTCCGGTTTTGCTCAGTAATGTGTCTGTTGGGGTATTTCTCGGACCACTCACACTTGGTTATTTAATTTCTCTCTCTCTCTGTGCCTTCTCTTTCTTGTGTCTTCATTTTCGTCTCTCTCTCTCTCTCCTTTCTCACACTCTCTCTTTCCTCTTTTTCTCCTTCTTTTTTTCTCTCTCTCTCTCTGTTTACAAACTGCCACAAAGTAAATAAACGACAAAATACAAACCCACGAAGAACCCGTGACGTATGACGCAGAGAGTCAGAGATCGGAAGCAAACACAATGACGTCACAACGAACGTTTTTGATTTCCTGCAGAACCTGTTTATAAGCCAATCGTCGTCGCTTTGGTCGCCAGTGGTCATCTAACGCTCTCTGGAAGGAGAAGTAACCAAGAACAGAAGTAAACAAGAAGACAATCTTCAGAATGTCGAGCCAAAGGAAGTTCTTCGTGATCGGGAACTGGAAGATGAACGTGGACAAAGCCCGGATCGACAACATCGTCAAGTTCATGTCGGCGGCCTCGTTGGACCCCAACACAGGTCAGTTCCACACATCTACTTCAGTTCGTGTTAGGACTGAAGTGAGTAGGTAATGAAGGATAAATTCAGTTCAGTGATTATGCAATGTCCACAAAAGCGAGATATTAATTTTCTTGTCCCAAACAGAGGCCGTGGTTGGCTGCCCTTCCTGCTACCTGTCCTACGCCCGCCAGAGACTCCCTGACGAGATCGCTGTCGCCGCTCAGAACTGTTACAAGGTAAGATGTTCTTTCCATAAACGTAAAAGATATGGTCGACCATATAGTAGTCTTGATTCTAGCAGAAATAAATGAAATAGTTATAGTCGTAAATCTAATATCAATAATCTTGTAACATCGTGATATTTTCGTACGTAGGTCGCTCATGGTAACTTCAGCGGCGAGATTTCTCCCGCCATGATCCTGGACTCGGGCTGCGAGTGGGTCATCCTGGGTCACCCTGAGCGAAGGACCATCTTCAAGGAGTCAGACCAACTCATCGCCGAGAAGGTCGCGCACGCGCAGCAGACTGGCATCAAGGTCAGCCTTTTCCTCATCGCTTTTTTTATTCTTGGAGAATGTTTTAAAAGGACTCGAATGAGATATGGAGATTTCTTTTCTAGATATGCATGATTTATCAAATTCATCTTAATGTGCAATTGCAGATAATCGCGTGTCTGTGCGAGACGTCGGAGGACCGCGAGGAGGGTCGCACGGACGACGTCCTGTTCGGCCAGATGAAGTCCCTCGCCGCCAGCATCAGCGACTGGTCGCGTGTGGTGATCGCCTTCGAGGCTCTGTGGGCCAGCAATACCGGCGTCCTGGCCACAGCTGCGCAGGTACAGGAGGCCTTGGCCAAGCTGCGACACTGGCTGCGCGCCAACGTGAGCGACAAGGTGGCCAACAGCACCAGAATCCTGTACGCAGGTTCCGTTTCGTCGAGCAACTGTCGAGAGCTGGCTCAGCTGGAGGACCTGGACGGCTTCCTGGTGGGGAGCGCGGCCCTCAGACCCGACATCGTCGACATCATCAACGCCCGACGACCCGACGTGTCCAGCCTCATTGCGCACTTCGACCGACCCGACGGCCGACGCGCCTGACGCGGGCGGTCACTCCTAGTTTTCGTAGTTTTATGGCTGTTTATTTATTGATATAAATATAAGAAATGTTTCTATTTTCATCGATTTCATGTGTTTCAACTTATCCACCTCACAAACGTAAAAAAGGGGCGAGTAACTACGTTTCTCGAAATGCAGCAAAAGCACACTCATTGATAACGAGAAAGACTAGTAGCATTAACTGGTGACGAATCTGAAACTGTTGCAGTACTAAGACTATGTTAACACGATATACTACGCTGTGGTATTTATGAAAGCAACACCAAAATAAAAACAACAGATCATATGCTCCTACAATATTGTACAAACATAATGAAATATTAAAATGATAATTGTAAATCAAGTTTACCTTATATTAGTGGTGTCTTGTAACACTCGTTTTTAAGACACAGCAATTTCACACTACCTTCGTGGCATCATAAAGATAATAATGAATTCGAGAATGAGAATAAATAAACCTTTATTGGATTATGTGAAAAGCTTTGAAAGCGGAACAAGAGGTGGTCGAAAGTTTATATTCGCATTCCTTATAAAGAATGTTTATGTATAGCTGATACCCACATGCAGAAATACACACAGAGAGGGATAGGTTTAGAGTATAATTACGTGTAGGTCATGTATGTATCATAATCGAATAAGTACATTATTTGTTCTCCGGAAGAGCTGAACGCTTGGAGAGCAGTCTCTGCGCCACAGAAAATAATAAATGTCTCCTCTTTATACATGTACTAAGTGGTCAAGAATATGCCTGTCATTATATATACATTTTTTTTCTCTTTTTTCAATAAGAGACAGGACCTGAATCCTCTTACTTCTATAGTATTGTAAAACATCATCCTTATGAATATTCCAAGACAAAACATTTCAGTATTCAGTGGCGAATGCACACACACAAACAGAGGCCTGACTTTAGACGATATAGAGTAGATATTTGGACACACGGTGAAGGTGCACTATTTTCAGCAACAGCAACAGCATAACACTGTTGATAGTGATCAAAGTAATAATGATAATGATAATAAGGTTTATAATGACAAATAATAACAATGATAATGATACTAATGATGATAATTTTGATAATTATGATAATAATAATATTAATATAACCATTATTAATCTTACTATTATTATTGTTATTATCATTATTGTTATCATTATCATGATCATCATCATCGTCATCAATATCATCATCATTATTATCATTATTATTATCATTATCATCATTATCATTATCCTCATCATCGTGGGTGAGAAAGAGAATACTGCTATTCTTTCCCTGATCAGTTCACCTTTCTATAAGACAAGAACCACATTATTTTATTTACCATCTGAATATATGGAATAATAGACGTGTGCACATTAAAAATTACAAACGGAAACGTGTTATCGTGTTCACTGTAAAAAACTACAAACATACACATGCGTAATTACGTTCATCACTGTGTCACCATCCTGTGTACGATCTTTCAAGCGCAGGTATGACAGCGTCTTGTCTTTCCTGTCATGTTCCCTCGTGTGTGTGTGTTTTGTGTTCACATTTACGTGTTCACATACATGTAAGGGTCTCGCACACACACACATACAAATATAGATACATGCGTGTGTGTGCTCCTCTGTCAGTATGTGTGCCTATCTATCTGTCTGTCTACCTACCTGTCTATCTGTGTCTACCTACCTACCTATCTAACCTATACCTACCTACTACCTACCTATCTATCTACCTATCTACCTACCTATCTATCTACCTACCTATCTATCTACCTACCATCTATCTATCTATATCTATCAGTCTATCTACCTACCTAATTCTCTATCTATCTAAACCACGTAAGCAAACACAGGCGTGTCTAGCAAGAACCCAGAATATTTAAGGCAGAACCACACGACTTCCCAACAACTGAGATCCTGCGTGAGTCACTCGCGGGGAACATTTTCCATATTTTTTTTTTCGGGAAGCAATTTCAAGGAGCGGATTCGACCGTGTGAACGTGGCCTATATGCTGCGGTGCCCAATCTGACTGATGACTGGAGTTCCCGGTCGTATGCCTTGGGAAGAAAGCCCATAAGGTGTTTCTCGTAAGCGCAGGTCTGTCGGAACACACTGACTTTTTAA